GTGGCCACCGCTTCCAAAATTGTTATCAACGAAACTAGGATAATCAAGACCGATATTCAACCGATAAGTCGATATCTAAAATACCTATTTGAAATTAGACGACCTTCACCAATTGAGCAAAGAAGTAATGGACATACGCCCATAACTTTCACCGAAATCAATAGAATACCCAGCCTTGGGATAAACCTTATATATGTCCTCATCGTTATTGCTTGTATCTTCTTTGCTTTACATGAAATATGTAGAAGCCGTCATGAAAAGGAAGAGGTTCACCCCCGCTCCAGAAGAAAACCAAAGTGTTCAACTCCCCCGCTAGTGTGGAAGTTGAAGTTAAGAAGGGAGGAGTTATATCACGTCTATTTGCTGAATCTTCATTTAGAATGCTTATTCTGCTTTTGAGCTTATTATAAATATAAAGTTTGTTTCGCCAGGGTTTGTACTTGCCACCAGCATTTGCCTTCCTTGTTTAACAAATAAAAGATGAATAAAACAAATCAATGACGTCAAAAACGTTCGTCGGTTCTTAAACCAGAAGTCATTCATTTTAATTTGTCAAAAAAATCGAATGTGTCATATGAATTAATCTGCAACAACCCTTTTTTTTCAAGTTTCAAGGTCAAGTATGAACCCTGGTGAAACGAACCTTATGTATTTTCCTAGAATAGTCAGTCAGTTGACATTAATTAATTGTAACATTTATTGTAACGTGCATTCGCTAGTATAAATTTTCGGATTGTTGATAAAGTCATTTTTCAAAAACCATCCCTCGGTTTCTGACTTCTTAACTCATGCTAGAGCACTAAATGAAGATAAATTTTATACAGCAAATGGAAAAATTCGCAAAACGAAAAAAAATCACTTTCAAGCAGATTATCTCCAGAGCCAACTGGAAACTATGCAAAAAAAGTTTGATGATCTAGAAACAAAGGTCAACCAGAAAGAAGAGTCTAACATGGTCTACCAAACCGACGAAGACAGATTGGCAAAAGAAATTGAGTGGATCAGGCAAAAGGGAAAAGGCTGGAAAAAACTTCCAATGGATTACTAATTCGTAACCACCACCGCAAAAGAGCGCTGGCTCGGGCACTATTGGAGAATCCTCAAGGATTCGAATCTTATTGTAGAAACAAGGGAACTAAGAAGGAAATGGCAGCAAAGTCGAGATCCCCATGAAAAAAAAATTCTCAACAATATGACGCTTCGCATAAGGCGTGACAATCAAGAAATCAAAAATGACACTACATTAACAATTACCTTGTAGATTGTAGATTTCGGGGGAGTCGTTTCGGCTTTTCAGCCGCTCAGCACTGCTACCTTTGCAGATATTTTGTGCGTGACTCTGCATCTTAATTTGTCTCCAGGAAGCGTAGACTTCTGCCGAAGGAAGTCATTTTCCTGGGTGTCAGTTGGCCCACTTCTTCTGGTGACAGTGTTGCCCCCTCGAGGAATTTGAGCCTCTTAACAATTACCTTAGTGAACTCACAGACGACAAAAACATTGATTATTCCCTTTGGGAAAGCAACCAAAGGCCTTAAAAGACCCAGTTACTCAAATTCCTCCCATAAGAAAGTCAAGCAATGGGCAAGGAGTAACGAAGAAAAAGTAGAACTTTTTGCAAGACATTTCAGCCTAACGAAGCACAATATGAAAATCTTCCCTGGAATGAACCTTATCAAGAAGAAGGCCGCATTAAGCCTTCTTCACCAAGAGAAATATATTAGCAGAGATCAGACAAAATATTAGTCGGAAAAAAGCTTCAGGATATGACCTAGTTTCTGGGGAAGTAATAAAACAACTCCCCAGGAAAGCTGTTGTAAAACTATGCAACCTTTTCAATGTGTCATTCAAGCTTAGATAAGTATTTAGACTTTGGAAAGTTGCAGAAGTTATCATGATACCAAAACCCGGAAAACCACCTCATAATGTGTCATCTTATAGGCCAATATCATTATTGCCAGTTTTATCGTAGCTCTTCGGAAAGATACTATCAAGCCAAAAAATATCACCCTTTTTACAACATTATTATTTCAATAAGAATTAACCAAAGGCCATTGACAAGTAATATCCCAATTTAGTTGGGCAATACGAATGTTATATTAAATAAAGCAAACGCATCAGCATGTTAGCAGGAAGCTTAGAGCCAACAATCTAGGTTTTAGGTCAATGATTTTTGCTGACAAACCTGAATCGATTTGGATCGATAAGGCGTCATTTCCGAGTGAGTTGTAAATCTAAATTCGGGCGCTAAAGTGGTGCTACGGGCTACGCTACGGTCTACAGAAAGATGGGTCTCCGGTAAGTACCGTTATTTAACATTTTTAAATTATGTGTCCTCATCCATTAATCAACCCTTTAGTAATCAATAAACTTAATTATTTTGAATGTTTTGGGACTTATTGTTTTAATTCATTACAACTCCAAATGATCCCCAGTTGCAACAAAATAGGTTGTGACAATACTAGTTACGAAAAAGAACAAAACCAGTTATAGAAAGACAGGAAATCATTCCAACTTATCAATTTGGATTCCGCGACAAGCACTCTTAGATCGACCGAGAACACAGGAATAATCAATATGATAGAAAAATCGCTGGAAGAGGAAAAAGTCTGTCCCGCAGTTTTCCTCAATGTGGCGCAAACATTTGGCAAAGTTTTAACATGGAGGAATGAACTATTATTATTATGTGACATTTCAGAGTCGGGAAAATTTTGAGTCAAATACGAAAAATTAAAGCATGGCAGGTGTACCTCAGGGTAGCGTGCTAGGCCTCTACTTATATAGGGTTATCCAAGTTCACCTTGATAAAATAAATTTTAAAAAAAGACACTAAAGATTGAGATTGTGATAAAGTTTTTATGGCATTATAAAGTGTGGCTATTGCCATTATGTGTGAATTATAACATCATTTAAATATCCTCCACGGGACCTCCTGCAGGACTCAATCCTGTTGAGGTAATTTTGACAACTTTTTGGGACATTTCAGGCCTATCCCGGTCATAAATTGATGAATATTGTCTTTCAACGAGTCAATCATTAGAAGGCTGTTGGCATAAAGATTATCTTTCACATATCCTCACAAGAAGAAGTCCAACGGTGTTAGATCACAGGACCGTGTTGGTCAATTCACATCAGCCAATCTCAAAATTACTCGTCCTGGAAACTTTAATTTCAACAAAGCCCGAGTATCCCGTGTTGTGTGACTTGTGGTCCCGTCTGCGGTGGTACAACGATCCATATTCTAAAATGGCAACCATTCAACTAAACAATTACCTTTTTTGTTAACATGTGTCCTTGACCGCTATCAAATGTCACGCGTATACTTTCTCAAGCACAAAATGGATAACCCTATATTTATTATCTACTTGCGACATCTCAAAACCAGAAAATTGTCATTTAGTCGTCGACGACACTGGTTCAATAACAGTGGAAAAAAGTATTGAACATTGAACAATCAACCGAAAAACTGCAGAACGCTGTAACTGAAATTCAAAATTGGACCAAAAAATGGCGAATAAAATTAAATAAAACCAAATCAACAATAAGTTAATACTTTACAGGCAAATACTGAAACCAGTATGGGCATCTGGTATTCAGTTTTGGGGTTGTACCCTCTAAAGAGAGTACCTAACACAAAACTATACCTACACAGATTCCAAAATAAAGTACCTACTAAAAAACATTCTTAATGCACCTTGGTACGTTCGAAATAGTGACCTATGACCTTCATCAGGAACTAAAGAAATTGGAACTGTAATAGAGACTATGGGAAAGTACGCAAAAATCCATGAAGATAGATCAAATCGGCATTTGAATGTGGAAGCGATTGAGCTCCTTGACAACTCTGAGCTTGTTCGAAGACTAAGTTGGGTGAAGCCGTTTGAGCTAGTGAACCGAAATTAAAAAACACAACAAGGATCAAAAAAAAAGTGCAGTACACGAGAGTCAGTGTTTGAACTTGGACACGTCAGTAGGTATTATATAACCATGTACCATTGCGATCAAAAAAAATAGTACAACAAAAAACCTCAAAATCTCCTAGTCATGATGTCTATCTGTATTAATATTTCATTGCCCGAACTCTTTGAGCCGAAACTCAACACTCAACACACATATTTTGAAATGTTTATTTACTGACAAAATGTTGTGCAATGTTACACTGGTAACTCAAATTGGGGTCAATAATTTTTGTACCACTTTTCCTTATCGCAATGGTACACTGACGACTGCGTCATTCTTGCCCAACGTAGAAAGCCAGAATGGATAATCCATTTTTTTTTGAAATGCGACTGAGCATTGACATCGAAGATGATCAAGGAAATTGTCTTACTTAGGATAAACTATAGATGCAAAATTGGCTTGGAAAGAACATATTTCGAACCCGAAACAAAACCAAAGCAGCATGAACCGGCACTACCTACAGTAGGACATCATGGGCCTATATGAACACAAAAATAACGATGATAAGAGCTATCGCTGATTGCTTGGGATATGCAGCCAAGTACTGCAAGACAAGCTGGAAACAGCGTTAGCACATTCAGGCGAAGGCGAGAATGGTCGTTGAAGGTCTATGATTTAAACGGATCGCCAACAAAAGAACACACCTCCAATAGACATACAAAGCAAGGCTGAGAAATATGTTTATATAAAAAAAGACAGCCACACCCGGGAATCTGGATCAAAAAAGACTGACAAATTACAATCTCGTAGAAAAGGCAGTATACCTACGTTACAATTAGGATGTTGAAATATATTCCTTGCAAATTAATGAATTGCTGATCCTGAATATACCTATTCCTATACTTAAATGAATGAATATGCCAGTAAGATATTTTAGGCTATGTATGGAATATGGTTGACATGCCTGGATAGGAAATTCAGAAGAATTGCCTTGTTTGTTTTCCACCATTGGAGCATATTACAACATTATTAAAATCATCTTTCTTTTTCTGATATAACATAATGCAACAAAAAGCGGACTAGCCAAACTGTAAAAAACTCACCCATTGGATTTAATTTTTGTCTGTTAAACCAGCTATCTGCGAAAAAAAATACGGAATTTAGAAAATATAATCTGAATTAAAGACATTGTAGGTAACTTACTTGGACAAATCATAACGCACAAAACCGATTTCTTACGTTCAACAGTAACATCCGCCTCCGACGTAGTAGAATTAATAGTAGAATTACTAACAGAAACGGTGGGCTCTATAGCTGGAGCTGCGGGTGTAGAATAATTATTATCTTTTTCCGACGCATCTACACCGTCGAGCACTTTATCGACGATCTCGTTAGCGACTTGCTTCAAATCTTCAGCCATCATGGCACGAATTTACGGCCACCTTAAAGCGAAATACAACTCTTTTGGTGGTTTTTAAGGGCGACAAACTGACCAGCAGGCTATAGCAGGATAGTATGACGCAGCCGCACGCTTGAAGCTCTTGTCTAATCGATTTTATTGTGGAAGGGCAGGAGGAGTTTTCCGGTTCTGGATCGACGAAAATGCGTGTCAGGATTTTTTCCCTTTTCTATTGTTGTCGTGAGGGGGAAATCCAAAGTATAGGTTATTTATAATTAACTTTTAATAGAGGAAAACCTAGATAAAGAGTTGTCGGAAAATAATGTTACGATTTGAAATTGACATTTAAGTCTGACAGAAGCGTCTTAGGCCCGGTTGTACCTAAATTGTGATTCAGTTGATGAACTGCTCACTGGTACTTGATCTTTCTCATTTGAAACGCTTGCTGTTAATGAATTTATTCTTTGGCATCAATGCATAAAGTACCAAAAGGGTTTTACTGAACCACTATTAGGTGAAACCAATGAGAAACCGGGCCTTAGAGCTCAAAATCAAAATGTATGGTATTTTTTTGTAAACATTGTGCTACCTATGTTTGGTTACTTTAGCTTTGCTATTTAATTTAAATATACATATTCAAATACTTATTTTGAAACAATCTTAAGTCTACGCATAATCACATGTTTTTTTATAATGTAAATTACATGAGCATTATTTTCAAATTTAAAACCGCCGCCTCCACTGTTTTAATCGATAATCAAGAAATCTATTGCTGTCGAGTGTCGATATTCCAGATTCCTGCCGCAACTGATGATCCGCTGGAAAAGGTGTCAAGAAGAGACTAAAGTGACGGTGACGGTTAACTACAAAAGTGGATTCACAGAGTGCATTTGTGGTTAAGTTTTTTTCTAATTTGACACTGTGTTTGACATCAGCATCACAGTTATTAAATAAAAGAAACGAGGGATGCAATTATTTTATTTATTTACGACTAATGTATAATGTGCTTATTATATTTGTGATTTTGGCAGTATAATGACATATGTTATTCCTCCAGGGATTAATGACGAGTAGCGGGATTAATGGTCATTATTCCACAAAAGTGTCAGTGTCAAACGTGTAGTGCTTGTGGATTTGTATTGAAAATTATGAGACGGATGAAATTTGTTCATTGAAAATCTCAAATAAATTAATTTGTCGTAAATAAAGTAGAGTATACTACTCGCAATAATGGCTATTATTCCCTCGGAATGTTACTCCCTCGCCGCTAACGCGGCTCAGTTCGTAATAATCCTCGGGAATAATAGCTATCATTATTGACTCGTGGTATAATCTACTATTAATCTACGTCGGTGTCATTATGACACATTTAGCATTGTCATTTGAATGTCATTAGGTCCTTCATAATAGCACTAGTGCGTTTAAGAATTCATAAAAACACCCAAATTATGAAATGAAAAATATATAAAAAGAAAGCTAGTTACCAGAAGAACCTTTTCATTGATGCTGTCTCGATATTCGAAGGGATACTCAGAATCACCAATATTATAGTAGATTATACCACGAGTCAATAATGATAGCTATTATTCCCGTGGAATATTTACGAACTGAGCCGCGTTAGCGGCGAGGGAGTAACATTTCGAGGGAATAATAGCCATTATTGCGAGTAGTATACTCTACTTTATTTACGACAAATTAATTTATTCGAAATTTTCTTTCCAAGAACGCTCTTTGTTCATCCATCTCAATACAAATACACAAGCACTAAGCGTTTGACACCGACACTTTTGAGTTTGTTCACGTATATTGTTTCCATGGTACTACTCATTTAATTTGAGAAATTTTGTGATTGGTGTGCAAGCGGGAATAATGACCATTAATCCCTGCGGGAATAATACATATATGACATTATACTGCCCAAATCACAAATATAATACTCACATTATATGTCAGTCGTAAATAAACATTATTTTTCTTTATAAAATTGAATTTATTGCATAAAAATTGACTCCAATATTGAAGCTGCCAAAGTCAAAACTTTAAAAATCAACAAGCAGGTTCCCGACTAGTACGGGCACCTGCTAAATTTTGAATTATTTGAAAAGTTTTTGCTATTTCAAGGCAAATCAAATCTATTTGGAACATCGTAGATTAAATTTTTAATGATATACGTTCGATATGAACTTTATTGATGAAACTTGTGTAACTAAACCACTCGGCTAACGCGTCGTGGTTTAACGTTACACGCGTTTCATTATGGTGTTCATATCGAACTAGTATCATTAATAACTATAATTTCATTTTATTTTGGTTACAAAATTATTTTGACAGCTGGAGAACAAAGTATAGGGCAAGTACACGATTTGACATTTTGACACTATTGACAATCGCCTTGAGGTAAAACAAAGATATAATTTACAGTGTTTTTTAAGTTTTTAGTTAGTTTTTTTCAAATAAATACCTTTTGTGTGTTCCAGAAGTTTCTTGGACATGCCTAGAGTTTGTTTAGTTCTTAATTGTGGCAGTATAGCGCAAGGGATACAATATTCTTCCATAGGTTTCCATCAATTTCAAATAACAATGGGAGGTTTGATTTGTTAGCTCAAGAAAGAAGAGAAAAATTGATTGATATTCTTAAAAGAGAAGATCTGACGGAAAAATAAATTGAATATAGAGTAACTATATGTTGGATAAACTGATATTCATATCAGTGAAACAAAAATTCATAAATTAAACTTTGATTATTAGCCTATACTTTGCTAATTTATATTGCAGCTATGGATGACTGAATGTGTTTATAATAGTTTTTATATGTAAGGTATACAGAGATGAGGAATCGTTTACTTAAGAAAGGGTTTTGTAATTCTTTGTCTTGATGTTGAGTCAGTTCATAGTTATTTCTATGAGTTCACACGCTCTGCTTTCCACGCTGTGTTCGATATAATAAATATATTGAATATCGATAATTAACAAGTTGTTTTATTTCTTAGTCCATTTCCCAACAGGTTAAGGGACCAGTGTACGTGTATTCATTGCGGTTGTGAAAACCGGGAGTGTTTAATGTGATAATGGAAAATTTGAAACTAAAAAGAAACAAAAGGCTTCATGCTCACAGAGCTTGAACTTAGATAAGAACATCAGAGCTCAGCAATTTAGAAATAATTATCGTTGAGGATATTTTAAAATCGATTTTAAAAGACGCAATTTCGAAAAAAAAAAAATCAAGTCTCTAAAACACAATAAAAAAAAAAGTGAAACAAAACAATTCCATCAATAAAAAAAAAAAATGGAACCCTTATAACAGCAACCAAAAAGGCACAATTAGTATTCCCAGTAATATGGGCATACAGGAAAGTATTTAGTATAGGCTGGATTGTCCAGAGAGGTTCCTTACAATTTGCTGTCTGTAAGAAAAATGCAAAGGGCTAGTATGACTATTGCTAAAAAAAAAAAGTGTTAGTATTTACAAAGGCGGTAAGCTTATATTTTATGGGTAAGTCTCTGAACACTTTAATAATAATTGCTCTTGAACTCACTGTTATTGGAAATTAAAAAAAAAAAACACTATTATTCAAGGGACGATTAAATAAAAAATAAAAAATTATCAATTGTGGTTTGAACGTTTGGTCCACATTGGTGAGGTTTAAATTATTAAATTATTATAAAAAAAAAAAAATAGAGATCGAGGACTTAGGGCGCAAATCGATCAGGTTATACAATGAGTATTTATGTGGAGCGTGCATAAACAAGCGCGACTTCCATTTCAAAAACATTGTACTGTTTGTGCATGAATTTACTTACTATTGTGTAACATATTTGATGAGTCATAAGTCATATATTTTGTATGTTTCAAGATTCAGTTGCTGAAAGTGGGGCACATTTCAATTTACAGATTTGCAATGTATTCTGTGACGATGAAGGTGAATATCTAGCTACTGAAATGAGAAATTTTTGATATGCAAAAAGATAAGTCATCATTTGACAATTCCATGAACCTCACAAATTAAATGATGCAGCTATAAAAAAAAAAAAGTTGGAGGCAGTTTTAACTGCCACATTCTCACTTAGTTTGACCCCTACTAAAACTGTAAAAGAATTTGAAACACCATACGAAATGTGGGGTAGTAAAAAGCCTCAAGTAAAATATTCATAAGTGTTTGGTTCCATAATACCGTTTATAGGTACATAAAAACCAGGAAAACAAAATTTGATATCAAATCCTGGAAAGCTGTACTGGTTGGTTATGAATCAAATCAATATGAAGTGTGGGATGTGGTTAGTCATAAGTTTGTTGTAGTCAAGGATATTATTGTAGATATGACGTTTGTTTTTGTCCTCCAAGCCTTTTAATCTGCATAAAGCTGATTCCTCTGACTATTTGTCAAGATCAGTAGTTAATAATAAGCTTGAAAAAGTGAATGTAGAACACTTTTGATTATAAAGCTGATTCCTCTATTTGTCAAGAACAGTAGTTAATCATAAGCTTGAAAAAGTAAATGCAGAACACTTAGGGTCATAAAGCTGATTCCTCTGACTATTTGCCAAGAACAGTAATTACTAACAAGCTTGAAAAAGTGAATATAGAACACTTTAATTGTAAAAGCTGTTTCCTCTGACTGTTTGTCAAGATCAGTAGTTACTAATAAGCTTGAGAAGTAAATGTTTAACTTTTCTGGTCATAGAGCCAATTTTTCTGACTCTTTGTCAATATCAGTGGTTAGTTAATGATAAGTTTGAAAAAGTGAATGCATAACACTTTGGTGATGAAACTGATTCCTTTGACAGTTTGCCAAGATTGCTGGTTAATAAATCTGATAAAGCAAAATCAGATGACCAACCAATCCAAGAAAGTAGCTAACTGTTAACCCACAAACTTATCAAACTATACAGGGTGTATATTTTAAGTGATACCACTATTGCTATATCCGAAACGGTAAGAGCTACAAGGTCGGTTAAATTAGGAAAAAGTTGCCTTTTTTGATGGCCATTTAAGACTTATTTACAGTGTTGCCACATTCTTTTTAGTTTATGAAATACAGGGTGATTTCTAAGAAACGCCCAAAACTATTTCATCAATTATTTTGAAAACTATTGATTTTCGAGACGCAATTTAAATTGGGAGTGAATTCTGCGCCTACCGGTAGGTCCTGTTTGTTTCATTCATTGAGAGCCTACCGTATGTATAACGCTAAAACATTATGGAAGGTCCCCAATTACCACATGATATAACGCCTATCGGTAGGTACTGTTTGTAAAAAAAATCCTGAACCTACCGGTAGGTTCATATTAATTTAAGAATCCTGCGCCTACCAGCTATTTGCACCGCAACAACTTAAGGGAAATTTAATCTCAGTGG